GCCGGCCCTGTCGCAGGGGGGGTGGGGGCCAGGCCTCTGCCCAAGGTGCTGGTGGGGGTTTGAGCATCTCGGGGGGACCTTTAGCGAGTGGCTGGATTTTCCCCCAAAGCCTAAGAAAAAAGGTGGAAGCGCATCCCTAAAGCGAGAAAGATCGCAGGCGTGTCTGGAGCCAGGTCACCCCGCTGTCCCCAGGGGCCAGCTTTGTGCTGCTGAGCTTTGCTGGGGCGGGACAAGCTGCAGTGACAGCAGACAGGGTGCTTTGGGTCCAGTTATGCTTTATTTGGGTCTTGCTGTTCACAGCTGTGATAACCTCCCCCCGCCCCCCCGCTGACTCTTGGGCTTGGGATGCCTTCGAGGTTCACCGAGTCTGTCGGAGGGACCCCTTCACCTCTCCCTCCCCCCCTGCACCGTGGGGGATTGTCCCCTCTGTCCCCGGGGAGCCTGGGCTGAATGGGGTTTATCACTTGTGAAAAGTAACAAGTCACCGAAGTGGGAAGCTGCAGCTAAGGGGAACAAAGGGCAGCTCTGCCCCCACGTCCCTCATTTACAATTCCAATGGGCCATGAAAGCACCCGACCAGGATGAACTTTGGAGTTAGGCTGTCCCAGGTCCCCAGCATCCTGCTCCTCCTGTTCCCCCCGGGCAGGTGGGCTTGGGTGTTTCTTGCCCGATGACCCTTTATCATGGACACTGTGTTGCTCCTGATACAGAAGGGAGGCAGAAGTAAAGCCATATCCCAATTTCAGGGGTCTGGGCGCGTGAATGTGGAGGGAAAGCTCCTTCCCGTGCGATGGTATTGGAAAAGCATTTAAATCGCGTAATCCCTTCTGGAGGTCATGGAGTGGCTTTGCAGCGCACGAGCAAACTTTTGTGGGATGGCAGCGGGGAGATCGTCTGGGGGCTGTGGGGAGCCCCGGTGGGGTGAAGAGGGGTGACCAGGGGCTCCCAACTGATGGTGACTTCTTTTTTTTTTTTCCCATGTCCGTTTTGAGCAGAAGGCGAGGAGATTGACGTGGTGACGGTGGAGAAGAGACAATCGCTCAGCCTGAGGAAGCCGGTCACCATCACGCTGCGCGCCGACCCCTTGGACCCCTGTATGAAACGCTTCCACATCTCCGTCCACCAGCAGCAGCACAACTATGCTGCCCGCTCGCCGCCGGACGCCTGTCCCCCTCCAGAGCCACCCCAGCAGGATGAGGACGAGCCACTGAGCGCTGCGGAGCCAGCCCCTGCTGTCATGCTGCCTGAGCCCGGCTTGCCAAAAGCCGGCAGCAGCCCCGGCTCCGACAGCGAGGATGTGGCCAAGAGGAAAAACCACAATTACCTGGAGCGCAAGCGGCGCAATGACCTGCGCTCGCGCTTCCTGGCCCTGCGGGACCAGGTGCCCGGGCTCGCCAGCTGCCCCAAGACGCCCAAAGTGGTGATTCTGAGCAAATCCTCCGAGTACCTGCAGTCGCTCATCAGTGCGGAGAGGAGGATGGCGGCTGAGAAGCGGCAGCTACGACTGCGGCAGACCCAGCTGCTCAAACGGATTGCTCACCTCAAGGGGCACTAGCACCCAATGTGCCCCCCCACCCTGGTCCCCACGACCCCCTGGCTCCCTTTCTCAATTTGCACATTTTTTTTATTTTTTTTTTGGTTGTTTGTTGAACTGTTGGCCCCGGGGGGCTGGAGCACGCGGTGGTTGCTGCATGTGGGGTGGCTGCGGTGGCGCTCCCGGCTGTGGGAATAGGGCCACGGTGGGGGGCCCTCCCCGTGGCATCGCCTGCTGGAGATGGGCACGGTGGGGGCCCCTCCCCGTGGCATCGCCTGCCTGTGGCTGGCTTCTTGGCACCGGGTGTTGCAAGATTTCCCCTGTCCCGTCCCGTCCGTCCCCCCCCCAGTGAAGCTTTCTCAAGCGACTGCTTCGATTTGCGGGTTCAACTCTATTCCCCCTCTCCGGCAGGCCCTGCACCCCTCTCTGCCGTTTGCCACCACCAACATCGCTGGGAGCTGCCCCTGGGCGTCCATCTCACCTTAAAAATCCCAAGCAACCATGATGTGCTTTGGCTCAGGGAAGCAGGCGGGGGCAGACACGGAGAGCCCAGCACGGGGCTCGTCTCTGGATGGATCCCCGTGGAGATGGCGACGGCAGGATGTGTCTCTCACCAGGGTTAACGGCACCACGTGGGCGATCCCCTTGCTCGGCTGGACCGTACCTCACTTTCTTACCACTTCACGCAGTAGCTTGTCTTGGATTTTATGTTCTAGAAACTGCTGCTGTAACTGCAAGTCTTATACTGGAGGCTGTGTTTTTTATACTGTATTTTTGTACCACTTTTTGAGAAGTATTGGTAAATTTTTTGCTTTTTTATATATATATATAAAAACTTTTTTTTGGAGGGGGGTTCCTGCTGTGGGGGAGGGCTCAGTCCTGCTGCACTTTAGGGAGATCAGGAAGGGGCTGGCTCCTGCTGGACCCTTGAGCTGAGTCCTCGCGGAGGCCGGTTCCCCCCTCGCAGCTCCCCAAACCACCCATTTGCAATAACAGGGGATTTTTTTTCCCCTTTCCCATCCTTGTGACCCCCTTTCCCACCCTTGTGAGCACCCCCTCACCAGCAGCCACTTAAAATCCCCAGCGAAGCTTTGGGCTTTGTGGGGAGCCTGGCTGGAGGGGGCAGGTTGGGTGCATGGGGGGGCTGTGCTGCCTTCGAGGCTTCCCCCTGCCTGTGCCATCCTGCTGCCCAGCCTGCGGTGGGGTACGTGGGTGGCAGAGTCCCCTGTCCCCTCCTGGGGGTGCTGGCAGGCGTGGCCCCGTGAGACAGCACCCTCAGGTCCCCGCTGACCTGCTGAGAACCGTTAGAGTTAACACTGTGGTTGGATTTAGCACTTTCTTCATTACCTCACACTTCGTAAATAAATAAGTTTGCAACAGCCTGGGTTGGCTTTTTCCATGCAGGCGGCTGTGGGGTTCCATGCATCACGCCACGATGCTCCTGGGGGGGGGGCTGGCCTGGCTGCCGTGTTTTGGGGTGTCCTGGCCACTCACGGACGTGAACAGAAATGAATGTATTTTGCACCAGGGCTTGGCTGCCTTGCCGCCGGTAAGACTGAGCTCTTTGTCCTGGCTTTCACCCAGCGATCGAAACAGAAGTGGTCACGGCGGTGGGGCCAGGGAAACGAATCACCTGGATTATTTTTCCTCCTTTTAAGTGGCTTTATTGGCAAGGAGGGGCAGAGAGCCCATGCCGGGCTTGGAGAAGGCTTTGGTGTAACTATAAACCCCCCTAATGGGGCTCGGGGCAGTCGGTGTGGGGCGATTGCTGCCCTGTGGGTCAGGGGCCGGGGCCGCGGTTGGCGGTAACCCTATAGGGAGGGGGGGAAATGCAATCCGCTCGCTTCAAGGGGCGTCGGAGAACTTCATATACCCAGATCTGCCGAGTGGATGAAATTATATATATGTGCGTCCTCCCTGCCGTCCCTGAACCTGATGCTTTTGGGTTTCCTTCATGTTGGTGGCAAAAGTCTTACTTTAAATGCAGGAGGGACACGGGATCCTGTTACTGCTGAGAAGTCAGAAGAGAGCTGCTGCTGCTGCAGGAGATTCAATCACCCGGTGGAAGCCAGCCTTAAAAAGCAATGATTCTGCACGGAAGCTCTTAAATACACTTTCCCTTCGGTTCCGGCAACATTTCACACTTTCTGCATGTTGCATCGCGCCATGTCAAAGCGTTTTAGAGCTGTATTAAAGGGTGCTCGCAGGAACCACAGCTTAAACGCAGAGCAGGGTGACCTAAATCTGACACCTCGCCCATGCGCAGGAAAACAAAAGCCCAGATGTACCAGTCCCTCAAACGTTTATTTTTGTTGTGTGTACGCTGACACTTGCAGACTGGTGTCTTTTTTCAGCTTGAACTGACCCTTCCGATAAGGTTTTTTGGTAAGGCATGCTTTTTCGTTTCATGCTGGAAGGCACATAGGATGCTTAAAACGTTATTTTTCTTTCTTGGAAATGATGTGCAGATCCCGTGGCCTGAGCTGAGACCATCGTCAGTGGAAAATGTAGCTGGTCTCAGATCAAACTGAGGAACAGCTGCAGTTTTGCACATAACCTTTGAGTTCTCCTGCTTAAAGCCCACATGCATAAATATATATCTACCTGAAACTTCCCTGGTTACTAAAGCAGATGTCTCCTCTCGCATCGCCACGGTAAGGACGAGGAAAGCAGACAGGCGGTGCTATGAAGTGAACAAAATAAACACACAGGGCTTTTCCTCCTTGCTTGCTCAGTGCTGCAATTTGCAAGTGTTGACTGTAACCATCACAATTCCGCCTTTCCAGCCCCGATACAGTTATTTTTTTAATGCAGCTTGCCCTGCTCACACCTTGCTCCTTGCGACTCACCCCCTTGCCTCTGCTACCGTACCCCACGCCCCCCCCTAACCACCCCTGCTTTCCCACCGTAGCTTTACTCCCGCCAGCCCCGGTTTTGCGCGGAGCAGCCTCGTCTGGCCCCGGGGCGTGCCGCGGGCGCGGTGCCACCTTCACGCCTGGGCTGGCAAATTTTTAGGACAGTTTCCCCGAGGCGGCGATAATCCCTTCCCCTCCGAGGGGGGCCGGCTGCCCGCACCCCTCCCCGCCCCGCAGCCTCCTGCTCCCTGTTGCTATGGCAAAGGATGTGTGTTGCCAGGGAGAGCGGGGCCGCGGAGATACCCTCCTCCCGCCGTCGCCACGGCAACCGTCTCCCTGCCTTCCCTCCCCTCTGTTGCCACGGGGACAGTCGCCCGCTCCCCATCTCCCCGTGTTGCCGTGGCGATGGGGGAGACGAGCCTCCGTGGAGGCTGCGGTTGCCACGGCAACGCGCTCCTCTCTGTTGCTATGGCAGCAGCCCCGCACCTCATCCTCCTGCCCCGTTGCTATAGCAACAGCATCCTTCCCACCCCATCCTACCCCCCCCCCAAAAAAAAAAAAGGTTCCACGGGGGAGAAACCA